ATAGATAGATAGATAGATAGATAGATAGATAGATAGAAGTAGAAGGCACAACAACTTTTTATTTCCATACAGGGATGATTAAGTTTTTTGTTTTGTTTATTGAATTGAATTAAATGATGAGATCAGAATCTCTATCCCCTGCTCCTAAACCAAACAGGAAGAGGCTATGTTTTAGTTTCAACGTTTCTTCCTAAATTTATGCAAAAACTTTAGTTTCTATAGCAAGGGCTAAACCTTGATCCAAAAGGCTTACAAACAAAGCAGCTGGTTTAATGTTATTAAAAAAATTCATTACATATTGGTAAATAAATAAATAGAAACTGTCATAATATTTTTTATGAAATGAACTTTCAAATACTTTTTTTTACGCTAATGAAGATCTCAGTCATCCACTGTTTTTTTGTTTTTTTTTTACATTTTTTCCTTGTTTTGTTTTTTTGCATTCCTTTGCCCACTTCTACCTCTTCTATTTTTATTCGCCATGTGTGAATGGTGCATACAATAAAACTGCCTTGTATTTTTAAATTCACAGCAACTGTAAAGTTCATATTTACCTTGTTTCGTACCCCAACCATTTCCCAGTGTTTAAATCGTATAGCTCATTATGCAATATAACGTAGTCGCTGTTGTATTTATCGCCGCGTGAGGGCAGCAAAGTTCATCATGCGTGTCAGTAACCGGGGCGCGTGGTTGTGCGCGAGCGTCTACTAGACCTACTCGCGCTTTTATGTTTTTTTTTTCTTTTTTTTTTATTTCTACTCTACAGTTCACTTTCAGTTTAAAGCATTGTTTGTTAACTCAGCACCCAATCAATATCAGTCCGCTGGTAGCCTATTTTTAAAGCATATTTATTTGAAATTAATTAATATGGAGTTTTGGGTATGACTTAAAAAAAAAAACATATTGTAGGTAACAATCTGAAGTCGTTTGTCGGAAATTCACCATAGCTGGGTTGATGGGAGGGTCTGCCTGCCTCCTTCCTAACTTCACCGGCTGGAGTTGAAGCAGTCACTCCACGCGTGAACCGTCCACAGACCGACGTCATGCTGCTGAAACCACACAGGAATCCACTTCTGCTCACCCTCACCTGCATGTGTTTCTCACGAGCGCTGCTTTGGTCTTATCAGGAAGAGGATGTCAGTGATGGGTAAATGCTTTTTAGTTAAAATAAAAAAGGAAAAAAAAAAAAAAAAAGCAACAAAAAAACATTGAACTTAGTTCCGCAGTGATATGTATGCTTTTTTTTTCTTTTGCAGAGAGAAATGCTCTGAAAATAACATTTCAACCACAAAGTACCCCTGTGTGAGGTCAACCGGAGAAGTTACAACATGTTACAGGTACAACAAGTTACATTTATCTTACAAAAAAAAATGCATGATGTTGATTCAAAATGTATGGTAATAATATGGCTCAGTGATTGAAACTGAATAGTGTTTCATAAATAAAAGTATTCAGATATTATTTCCACATCAAGGAGCACAATAGAAAATTCTTAAATTTCTGCTTACTTTGTAAATGTTTCTAGTGAAACAATTAGATTTCTGTTTGCACAAACAGTTAGAATCACATTTTTATGCATTGACTTTGATTAGCCTAAGTTTTGCTACACTTATATTTGGAAATAGGTGGATGTATATATGTAATGTGATAATGGTATAAACAAAGTATATAAGCAATGTGGATACATTTTGTTTAAAATTAATCTTTCCTAAATGCTTACAGCCTTAAAGGCATGATAAAAACATACTGTTGATTTTAAAGATTTGTTTTCTCAAGCAATATTTCAAACTACGCTGACCTCATGGAAAAGTTCCTGCTTCAAATGACTCATATGTGACAAACAGTATGGATTTTGTATAAAGCAAGACAATCAAACAAGCATTCAAGCTTAAAAATAAACCTTTCAGAGAGATGAATCCTTTAAATAAAACAAAAAAAAGTTGCACAAGTGCTTCTGTATCATCTCCAAACCACTTCTTAAGCTTTGCTTTGATTATAAACTTTTGTAGTTGCTTTAACCTTGTTTGGTGAGGCTGATGAATTGTCAAATGGAACGGGATACTCTATTTACAAACTCATTGTGATTTATGTTAAAGGAATGTGTGTTTTTGCCTCAGAAACACTATCATAAAACTTAGTTAGAAAGCGTATTTCAAACAAGTTTCAAAGATCTTTATTTATAGCAAATCAACATCCTCAAGTCCCATTTAAGGAACATTTTGTGAGCTAAATAAACCACAGATTCTTTAGTACAGCATCTCATCCAAAAAACTGACTTTTAAAGTTTTTTTTTCTTTTGCATTACTTAAATGCCCTCTGGTCATGGTTAAGTGGCATCCTGTTTGATCTTCCCATTTTAAACACACTCTTAACATAATGATGTTGGTTTATGGTTATTGGCTGTAGCCACAAGTTGTTTCCCCACATAGTTTATTTAAAAAAAGAAAAATTGCTTAAGCTTAAAGCCATGATAATGGGTGTATTTTAGGGCACCTGCACAGTGGAAGACAAAAACTAACCCAACAATCCCCTGCATCATTAGTCAAAGGATCCAAAACAGAGCACCAATACCTATAAGACGTGCCTCGAATTTTTTCTTAACTATCTGGAAATTCCTTACTGCATAAATCTGCATCACAGCTAATGTGACTTGGCATTTTTTATGCATGATTTAAGTTGGTAGGCTAAAATTGAAAATAATAAAATCTATGCTCATGGTATTCATAATTGGAGATTTATGAAACCTATCAAAGTCCTATTTCTGATTGTTTACTCTCTGATGTACCGTATCCCCTAAAAGTGTTCAATTTTTTTCCATTACACCCATAAAGGTTATTGTGTCTTGTCATATTTTTATATACCCACATAAAGAAGCAAATTATTGTAGAAAACATTATATATGGTATAAATGATTGAAGTAATAAAACCTAAAAACTATTGCATGATTTTAATGTGACATTTACCCTGATTTGCCTAAATGATACTCAGTGTAAACAATTATCGACAGAAGTCACCTGATTAACCAAGGCTGGCTGAGTCAATATAATTAAATATTTTCTTTGAAGATTTGAAGGTTTATTAGAGAATATATAGCAAATAGCAAATATCTCACAAAGTACGGTCTAAATCTATAACCCAGAAATAGAAATGCTATTGCATAACTACAAACTAAAACTGGATCATCTGCCTCAGCAAACAAGCAAGGGAATTTGATCATTAGTAATGGAATTCAATCAGAATAGATGCTTACAATAAATTACTCTGGAGGAGCTAAATAGATTATTTAAAACTATAAGTTTTGCTCTTACAAGTCTAGCCTTTATGGAAAGTGACAATAAGAAGTTATGAGAAGTCCCATATAGTATAGTAGACTCAGCAAACATACGGCATACTGTGATGATTAACCTTGCAATGCTAGTTGGATTGCGAGATCTGAGTTTCTAAAACGTCCATCTCTGAACCACCAGCTGGTCGTATCAATGACATGCCAGTAGTGTCTTTTTTGGGGCATGGATATGTAGGAATGACGACAGTCAGAAGGGCCTTGCATTACAAACATGGCTACTTGTCGATACCCGTATTGTCTCGGCTTTAGCTAAAATGGCGACAATTTTTCGTTTAAATAAAGAGCAAAGTGAAGCACTTTGTGCATTTGTAGATTGGAAAGATGTCTGTGCTTTTCTTCCGACAGGATTTGTAAAAAGTTTGATTTATCAGCTTACTCCGCTAGTTTAAGTGTGAAAACACTCAAGAAGCTGCAGACGAATCACCCTGCAATGATTGGCTAAAAGCGTATAATAGAAGGCGGGTACTAGCTGGCACATCCCCCAATCAGCTCGAACTATTGTACTAACTGTCGCTCTTTTTCACAGATAGACTGAACATCCCAGATTAATAACATAGAACTAAACTCAGATCTACGCATATCAATCTGGCTACTGCCAGGTTAGGTGACCATGGTCACATGGGAGGAGCTGCAACAATCTGTCTTTCTTTTTTGGACATGCAGTAGCCAAACACTACAGAGGGGACACAGACTTTTCAAAAGATGGTGCTCTTGCAAATGACACTAAAAAGTAACTTTTTGATCTTCAATAAATGCACATAATCCTTAATGTACTGTACAACAGGTGTGGCATAGTAGTGGCAGCATCATGCTCTGGGGATGCTTTAATTTAGCTGGGCTAGGAGAGCTGATCAGAGTTGATTGGCAGATGTTTGGAAGTAACTGAAAGGTAATAGAGGTAAAGGATCTGCTAAAAAACTTTAGATTGGTCTCTATAGTGTTCCTGTAAAGCTGATCAAATGACTATCAAAAAGATGCATCTATTTTGTATTGTTTCAACAATTCACATACATTCGTGCGTCACTTTAATATACTCTTCTATTCAGCTGTATGAATATACATTGTTTGTTTTATTAAGGTGACAAAATCTGAAGACAATGAAAGGTGGTGAAAGCTTTTCCAAGATACTATTATTGGGTGTTTGTTTAAAGCCTAAAATCTGCAATACTCACCGCTTTTCCTATGGGAATGAAGATAGAAGCCTTCTTGATTGTTTTTAGTCACCCAGCAGTTCATGTTAAGCATCTCAATATCTTTGATTATTTGCTTACTTGCTTCTTTGATATATCTGTTGTAGAAATTTTGAATATACTGCAAAAAAGACCCATGCTGTGGTCTGTTATGCAGCAGCGTGCAGAGCTTAAGGTTTCATTCTGGAGCTGTTTATCATGTCATGAAAGGAAGCAGAGGAGACACCAGAGACCTGTGCCAACTCAGGCCTCTTCCTTTCGACTCTTCTTTCTCAAAGAGATCATTTTGTTTTTGTTAAAGGCTTTATTTGCCATAATAAAAGCATTTTTCAGCTTACAGATTGTTTTTATTTATGGTTTTACACACCATGGAGGTAAATGTGCTTGGCTCAAAATGAGATGTACAGAAAGAAAAAGAAAAAGAGAGGTTGCAGGTTTTCTGTTCCAAACCTACTAAAATCTCAAATGCATGTGATTGCAACATAATACTCTGCTTAAACCCGGTGACGGATTTGATTATGATGATAAGCTGTGAACTGTTTGTTCCACTTTGGCAATGCTTTCTGAGCTGAGGCCCGCCGTGTTTTCGCAATGAATTGCCCAGAGATCAGTTTGTGATCATTATTTACAGTAGTATTGCTTATCTGTATAAAGATTTTCGTTTCTGTTCTTTTCTGTCGGTCTGCTGGTAATTGCTGGCTATGCCAACTATGTTTTTTCTCATAATGTATTTTTCCAAAGCCACATTACCTGCTCCATAAACCCATTACATTTTAGGTATGGAGACCCTTTTTTGTGGTTTATGATAAAAAAGCAGAATTACTGTCATTACTGAATAAGCTGGATGGCTGTAGTAACTCTATATCTTATTCCATGCTACAGATCAGTTGGCCCTCATATCAGTATTTATCCAGTTAGCTAAATGCTTTAAAAATAAGGGAAATACTGATGACTAACACAGCAGTTCTATTCACTTTTATTACATGTTTTTAAGCTGGTTCCCAAGCCTCTGACAATTCCGGATGAGAGCCAGAGCCAGCGTGTTAACCGTCATCAGGATGGAGGCACATTAATAATCTTTGTTTATAACCTCTCCTGCGACAAGGAGCTACATGAAACAGGAATTTCACAGACTTGATTTATTATGTATACACTGTCGACTTTAGCCGTCCTGTAAAGGAAATGCTTCTCTGGAGAAGAACCAGAACACCATCAAAGTCAGACCGTTCTCTCAACATCCATGACAATTACACATAATTGGCGTGTGGCATGTTTAATTGTTGCTTTGGTTTTTTTTTTTTTCCAAGAAAAAAAGTATTATATTTACCTCAGACACACTGCACTTTAGTGCATTTCAGTTTCCTTTTGATTTGAACGCAAAGAAAATCAGTAGCAGTTTTTCATCAGTGTGTCCTTTCAGTCTGAGAGGTACTTTCCACTTACCTTGCTGTAGTTTAGAAATTTGTTAAAGAAACTTGGTAAGTCAAATTGATTCATATTGTTTTTCCCACACTGATTCCAGCAGAGAGAGGGCCATAAAGTTCCAGTGGAGTGATCCCTTAAACTGGTTATTCATCTTGGCTTCAAGGCCTGAACTCTCTCCTGTTTCCTTTGGTTTTTATATAATCTGTTTTTCACATTAGATTTAAATTTATTCCACACCTTGGAGTAGCTCTCTCAGCTGGACTTCCTCTCAGTGTACCAATTCAAATATCTATCTGAATTAAAAGTTATGTCTTCTTTGTTTTGTTTTTTTCACCATTTAGTGATCGTTACTCTATAAAAGATGTTTTGGCAATTC